CAGAATTAAACAACATGTGTGTAAGGTGAACATGTTCAGGTGTACAGAGAGCCCTACTTAATACTTTGCTAGAGGGTGACTAACAGGTCCTTGCTTTGCTCCTGCAGGGAAAAGACTCACGTGTGGCCTACACCTGCACACCTCACATAGCTGGTCACACAGAGGCTTTCTAGCGAGAACTCTAAACCCAATCACAATGTGAAGTGGCATCTGCCATTCATGATGAAGACACTGAGAACGCAAATTTTGTTTTGAGTTTTCAAATTGATGCAAAGAGCTGACCTAGCATACTCACGTGTGTCCCAGAAACCCCGTTTGGCCAACCCTAGCCAACATCTCTCTAGAATTTTGAACACGCACGTAATGGAGAAAATCTACAGAGACACACAGGTAAACTTTTAATACTTACTGTTTACATAGATGTAGACCTCTTTAAAGGAAATTTGAGAATCCATTCTGGAATGTCCAAGACTACTTTCTGGGTGGATGTTTTGCACAGCAATTACAACACTGCTTGGGACACCTGCAATCACTCTGAGTACCTGGTTCAAAGTCTCACTACGCTGCTTTCTGCTCATGTGCCCTCTGGGAGGTAACAGATGATAGCTTCTTGCAACCAATTTGGAAAACCCTGATGGAGTTCTAGGCTTCTGGCTTCAGCCTGGCATAAGCCTGTCTGTTGTAGACTAACTCAGTGGATGGAAGATTCCACCCTTTCAAATAAAATGAAATAAATATTTACATATTTTAAATTTTTAAATGTTCTCACCCACGACAGACATAATTCCTTCTCCCTGAAGAGCACTTCCTGTGTGAGTTCTCCACCCACCTCCTTTGCTGTAAGGATGTAAAGTGTTTAGGGCTCTTCCACAGTTAGGCCCTTTCTTGGCTGAAGATTAAACATCTTTTTAAGGAATATATTTCTCCATTGATCCAGGCACTGGATCAATCTGCAGCTAAGGCAGTAGCAACTCTCCTGAATGCCTACCAAGTGTTCTCTTGCTGTGGATATATTGAAGTGAATTTGCTTAAGAGTTGAGATGGGTAATCGGATGGAGAATGGATGGATATATGCTTTGAATTAGAGTCATATTATAATTCTTGATCCAGAAAGCTGAATACTTTGAAAATATGAACTGACAGAAATATTATTTGCTAGGCTTTTTTAAAATTAGATTTAATAAATAATCATGGCATTAGATGCTTAAAATATAGGCTGAGGCATTATTCTGGGAGCCTCCCTCTTCCTCCTCATCTCCAGAATCCCTCCTGTTGCTGTTGCTTCAGGATCTGTCTTACAGGAGAGGGGCAACATCATTTCTTTATATATTCACATATTCCAGCATACATGCACTATGTAAAACATCTCACACAGAAGCATCAGTGGGAATTAATTTTATAAATTTGTAACCATACTATAAGCAGGGCTTCAAACTCTGTAGCCTTCTCAGAACTTGATGGAATGCTTTCACCCAACCGATGTTCACTGATACCTCACTGAAGGTCATTCTAACATGTCAGAAACATTACCATTAGTGGTTATTATTAGGAAAGTTATTTTATGCTTATTTTATTCATTTTAAATAAGGTTTCCCTTAATCTTGTCTAATATATAGTGGTCCAACTGATTTAATAATTTTCAAACTTTAAATGTTCATTTTCTAAGAAAACAAAGTAAATACCAGACTTCAAATTGCATTTAATGTGAATCAACTTTGAAATTACCAAGGAGGGTAACAGCATTTCTCAGCATTTTGTTCTGTATAAAATTATATTCTACTTGAAAAGTCTGTGAGGTCATGAAAGTTCACATTCAAAGCTAGTCTAAGTATAAGAAAAGACCACAAGTTGAAAGGCAGAAGCGAATCTGATAAAATGCATGATTAAAATTTTATTATAAGCCCAAGCTTGGCTTTCTCATGGTATTTTATCTTATGAAGAATATAACTATGCTTAAATTTTTAAAAATTATAAAAAATAAATTTAAATAGCTTTGATGAGATTATTTTTCTCCATCTCCTTTAAAAAAGGAAATAAATTATATTTTCCATATAAATTCAGTTAGGTAAAATAATGCTAAATGCATATCAAAATAATTAACTATATCAAAGGTTTCAATAGATCAATATTCTATTTTAGAGCCTGGGTAAAATAGTTAAAACAATATTATACCTACCTCCTGAAATACAACAAGTTTTCAACAGTAGGTAGAAATCATACAAGGTATGAGAGACATTTTTAAAAAGATTTATTTATTTATTTGAAAGGCAGAGTTACAGAGAGACAGGGAGAGAAAGGAAGAGAGAGGAAGCCTCCATTTATTGCTTCACTCCCCAGATGGCCACAATAGCCAGCTCTTGTCCAAGCCAGCCAGAAGCTTCATCTGGGCCTCTGGAGTGGGTGTAGGTATAGGGGCCCAAACATTCCCAGCACAAAGCTGGATTGGAAGTGGAACAGCCAGGATATGAACTGGTGCCCATATGGGATACTGATAACACAGGCAGAGGCCTTACCTACTCCACCACAATGCTGGCTCTTGAAAGACCTTTAAAATAAACACCCATTTGCCAGGACGATTCATTTACAAAACAAATGAAAAGACAGACATCAGGTCTACCAAAACCCAAAATCTAAACATAACTCTAATTTTTAAAAAATTAACAATGCTTCTAATTTACACATTCAACATGTAATCTATGTCTAGATTTTAAGAAATAAGTCGATTCATTTCAAACAAAAATGTAAGTCTATTTGTCTCACATCCAGCAGCCTTAAGATAAAAAACTAGGTAAAGTATATAGTGTGTGTGTATTTCTGTAAAGTCCAGTTCCATGGGTTAGTCATTGTGTTATATGTCAGCTCCATCTTCTATTTCTTCTTTAAGTATATTTTTTAAAGATTTATTTTATTTATTTGAAAAGCAGTATAAGGGGAAGGGAGAGAGTGAGGGAGGCAGGGAGGAAGAGAAGATTACATCTTCCCTCCATGGGTTTACTCTCCAAATGGCTGCAAAGATTAGGGCTGGGCCAGGCCAAAGCCAAGAGCCAGAATCTCCATTCAGGTTCCCCATGTCGGGTGGCAGAGACCCAAGCATTTGGGTTACCTTCTTCTGCTTTCCCAGGTGCATTAGCAGGGAGCTGGACTGTAAACAGTGCAGCAGGAACTCAAACTAATGTTCCACTATGATATGCTGGCTGCAGCTTAACTCACTGTACCACAACATCAGTCCCTCAATATTTTTTCCAAGTTTACTTTATATTTCTCTCCTTTAACCATAAGCATGTTCAATTCCTACATCTTTGCATTTATTTTAATGATTATACAAATGCTACATAGCTAATAAAACTAATAAGCTGCAGTTAAACAGTGAGCGATATCTTACACCAGGTATACTTTTCACCTGCCTTTTTGTCCAACCTAATCCTTAAAGAACAGTATTATTCCTTACTGCCTTGTTTTCTTACCAACCATTCTCTCTGATACCTCAGAGTTGTCATAGATATTCCCACATCTTTATGAAAGTGACCACAATTATTAGCGGAACTGAAATTTCAGAATCATCTTAGAATCATTTTATACCTGCCTCTTTTATACCTTTTTCAGAAAAAGAGGAAGAAAGAAGTGTGTGAATTAGGCAGCCAGTAGAGGATAGTCATGGGCCCATTGGGTCAGACTGCATTGCCTGAACCCTAGATCCTTCCTGGGGACAACCACTTGTCTTTCTATGCCAAGATGCCCTCACTTGTAAACCAGGGTTGCTAGTAGCACCAAGCACTGAATGGAGATGGTGCATGCTTCTTCTTCAATACTGGTGTTTTCTTTCAAGGAACAGGTTGTCCCTCTAGGGTAAAACTACCAACCTCACCAATCCGCCCAATAATCACCTATTGCTGGACAGTTCAAGGTGTATGGGGAGTCTGGATCAGGATAAATGACACAATGATTTAATCAAATTGGAAGTTTCTTTCACTTTTGCCCTTTCTTAGGTAAATATTTATGTTTTCATTGAATGACAAGCAACTCCATTGTCCAACCCAGCATATGCATCTATCAACAGATGAAAGTGTTATCTGAAAAAGCTTTAAAACTAGAAAGCAAAAAGGATAGCATAATATTAAGACATTGGTTACAAGATAGAGCTAGCATATGATACACTTCCATTTCTAAATAACTTTTAAATACATTTACATTTTCTTGGAAACAAATATTCCAGAGGGAAAAAAAATCCAAAGATTAGTAATCAATGTTTTGTTATTGTTACAGGAAAAAGCAATTGAAACACCAATGTTAAGCTACTTTCTCCGATCTACAGAACTCAAAAAAAAAAAAAAAAGGCTTCAATGAAATCCAGAGTAAACAGCAAAATAGGTATTTGCTTGAGTATCCACCATATATAAGAATTAATTTGAAAGGATACCTTTGTCAACCTGCCCTTCTGAATAATATGTATGATCCACCCTCCTTAATTCTTTAAATTATATTGCTTCCATGCAAGTTTTCCTTAGATGAATTTGATTTTGATGGCTTACATTCAACACAACGCCTACAGTATTTCCATGTTAATAAAACAGTCTTAGCAACACACTGAATTTAATGTCAGAGACCTTGTCATCTCAAATAACATCTTCCTTTCCATTCAAGTGCATATGCATTGTACAATTTCTTTCATTTTTTTCTTCATTTATTTTCCTCAGGTATGGTATTTTGAAACCTCACATTTGTTATTCAACACATCTATTGAAGAATACTTAGTACTTTCCAATTGCATCACTAGAATTATTAAACAGTCATAAATCCAGATTTAAGCAATAAGTATGTATTCAAATACTGTATTTAACTTCTATACAATTAACTAAAGTAGAGAAGGGCATGTGTAGAGTGCTGGGCTTTGAAGTTTCCCATTAATATACCTAGGAAGCAATCAGTGGTAAGCATTTAAGGTGTGGTGGTGACATATTTTGAAGGGCACAATGCAAACTCATCGCCAGACATTAACTTACCCAGGACTGTGAGCTCTGCAGAGGCACTAATGTTCTCATTTTTATACGTGACAACACAGGTGTAAGTTCCACTGTCATCATCTGTCACGTTGGAGATAAGCAAGTTACTTCCACCCAATAAAGAATACTTTTTAGACCTGTAAGATATAAGGAATCAGAGAGTAAATTAATATATGTAGATCAGGAGAAAAACTCAAGAGGGTTAAATGATTTTCACTAAAGCTCAAATTATAAAATTGGGGAAAACCATATATCATACATACTTGATATCACCTCACTTAATGATAAAAAATTAATTTAAGGTAAGTTACTCCTATGGGAATGCTATGTGTAGTGACTGAAGAAATAAAGTAGATTAAACTCAGAATTAACTTCAGTTAATTTATTTAGTTAGTGATGAAAAACAACTTGCAGATAATGTAGTCCAAGTTTCTCATTTTGGATTTGAGATTAGGGTCCATAGAAGCGGTTCTCCAGGGTGGAAGTCAGTGGCCTGTGTCCTGACACACAATTTAGTGATTTTTGTAAACCATATTTCATACTACACCCAAGTGTGTCTGGGTATATATGCAGACAATGCATTTTCCCATTTGGTAGCTATAACTGGAATTCTTGTGTTTTATTTTTCTCAAGAAATATTGTGAAACTGTATTATGTACCATTATTATCTAAATAAATGTTTAAGGTATACAACTTTTAAAAAATATCTTATAATATATACAGCTATTTCATCATGGAAAATAAATGTGCTAGAAAGAAATCTACCAGTCCCCAAAATCAATGAAATTAATTTCTTAAGATCTATTTAATCAAAATGTTTCAGACTAAGTATTCCACTCTCTAAAGGATTTACTTGCTAACTGTACTTTATTGTTATTATTCCAGAAGTCAAGGCCAGCCAGGTTCTCGTGCCTTATCTTCAAATTTTACTATAGCTCAGATACTCAGAGATATAACTGGAGGTAAAAAAAAATGTGCAACCTTTAAATGACATTGTTATATATTTGAACTCAGAGAACTGTGATTTCATCTCCCCGGCTTTATTAGAGTATAATTGACAAATAAAAATGAATATATTTATGTTTGTATAATGTGATGTTTTATGTATACAGTGTGATATATGTAGATACTATGCAGTGAGAAATGATTACCCATGAAGTTCATTTACCGATCTGCCCCTTCACATAGTAATCCTGTGTGTGTGTGTGTGTGTGTGTGTGTGTGTGTGTGTGTGGAGAACATTTAAGATCTATCCTGTCCATACCATTTACTTAGGCTGAGATCCTCCAAAATATCTTTGCTGATGAATCTTTGGGCAGGATCATGTCAACAGATTCCCAACTTTCTCAATTTCCTTTAATAATTGATATTACTTTGATTTGTGTTTGCTGTTTTTACGTTTCTTGTCTCCCCCCTTGTCCCATTGGCTAAACATCTTTCATACGCTCTATCATGTCAAGGAATGTGGAAAAATATTCAATAATTAGAAAAATCCTAGTATATGTAGGCATTTCTGTCAAATTTAAGGAAGATAAATAGTACTGCACACAATTGAAAGTGCCGACCGTGTATTACCTGAGTTGGATGACTTCCTCGCCTCGTAACCAGGTAAAACTTGGCGGAGGATAGCCAGAAACGCAGCACTCCAGGACCGCCTCTTGTCCTTCAACGGCTACTACATTGGAGGGTCTCTGTAGAAAATACAGCTGCCTGTGCAGTCCCGGATCTATGGAAAGAAAACATAGGATTGTATCTTTTACGAAAAAATTGCAAAGATTAATAATGCAGCCTGAATTTTTTTTTTTCTAACCAGAAAAAGATGAAAGATGCTTGAGAGGAAAGAAAATTGAAAAGGCACCAATGAAACTTATAAATAAACTCTAAAAAAGTTTTTTACATCCCCAGTTTCTAAGATTATGATATCAGGATATTCTTATCTGGTGACAGCAACATGGTGTAAGACATAGGACATCAGAGTGAAGCTACAGTTCACTCTCCTAAGCTATATGCTGTATTTATCTATCATTATTAGAGAACAAGGCAATATTAAAAGGCACTTCAAAAACCCCATGGACAAATGGACTTAATGTTGATTTTTTTTATTTAGTAAATATAAATTTCCAAAGTACAGTTTATGGATTACATTGGCTTCCCCCCACCCCCAATAATTTCCCTCCCACATGCACCCCTCCCATCTCCTGCTCCATCTCCCATTCCATTCACATCAAGATTCATTTTCAATTATCTTTATATACAGAAGATCTATTCAGTATATATTAAGTAAGGATTTCATCAGTTTGCACCCACACAGAAACACAAAGTGTAAAAACACTGTTTCAGTACTAGTTATAGCATTACTTCACATTGGACAACTCATTAGGGACAGATCCCACATGAGGAGTAAGTACACAGTGACTCCTGTTGTGGACTTAACAAATTGACACTATTGTTTATGGTGTCAGTGATCTCCCTAGGCTCTAGTCATGAGTTGCCAAGGCTATGGAAGCCTTTTGAGTTCGCCGATTTCGATCTTATTCCGACAGGGTCATAGTCAAAGTGGAAGTTCTCTCCTCCCTTCAGAGAAAGGTACCTCCTTCTTTGATGGCTCCATTCTTTCCACTGGGATCTCACTCGCAGAGATCTTTCATTTAGGTCTTCCTTTTTTTTTTCCCCCTAGAGTGTCTTGGCTTTCCATGCCTAAAATACTCTAATGGGCTCTTCAGCCAGATCCAAATGCCTTAGGGGCTGATTCTGAGGCCAGAGTGCTATTTAGGACATCTGCCATTCTATGAGTCTGCTGTGTATCCTGCTTCCCATGTTGGATCGTTCTCTCTTTTTGATTCTATCAGTTAGTATTAGCAGACACTAGTCTTGTTTGTGTGATCCCTTTGATTCTTAGACCTATCAGTGTGATCAATTGTGAACTGAAGTAGATCACTTGGACTAGTGAGATGGCATTGGTACATGCCACCTTGATGGGATTGTATTGGAATCCCCAGGCACTTTTCTAACTCCACCATTTGGGGCAAGTCCGATTGAGCATGTCCCAAATTGTACATCTCCTCCCTCTCTTATTCCCATTCTTATATTTAACAGGGATAACTTTTCAGTTAAAATTTAAACACCTAAGAATAACTGTGTGTTAATTACAGAGTTCAACCAATAGTACTAGAACAAAAAAAAAATACTAAAATGGATAAAGTATTACATTGTACATCAACGGTCAGGGCAAGTGCTGATCAAGTCACTGTTTCTCATAGTGTCCATTTCACTTCAACAGTTTCCCCTTTGGTGCTCAGTTAGTTGCCGCCAAAGAGGAAGAACATATGATATTTGTCCCATTGGGATTGGCTTAATTCACTCAGCATAATGTTTTCCAAATTCTTCCATTTTGTTGCAAATGACCGGATTTCATTGTTTTTGACTGCTGTATAGTATTCTATAGAGTACATGTCCCATAATTTCTTTATCCAGTCTACTGTTGATGGGCATTTGGGTTGGTTCCAGGTCTTAGCTATTGTGAATTGAGCTGCAATAAACATTAATGTGCAGACAGCTTTTTTCTTCAGAATTTACCCAAAGGAAATTAAATTGGCAAGGAGTGGGATGGCTGGGTTGTATGGTAGGGTTATATTCAGGTTTCTGAGGAATCTCCAGACTGAATTCCATAGTGGCTTGACCAGTTTGCATTCCCACCAACAGTGGGTTAGTGTCCCTTTTTCCCCACATCCTCGCCAGCATCTATTGTTGGTAGATTTCTGAATGTGAGCCATTCTAACTGGGGTGAGGTGAAACCTCATTGTGGTTTTGATTTGCATTTCCCTGATTGCTAGTGATCTGGAACATTTTTTCATGTGTCTGTTGGCCCTTTGGATTTCCTCTTTTGAAAAATGTCTATTGAGGTCCTTGGCCCATCTCTTAAGTGGGTTGTTTGTTTTGTTATTGTGGAGTTTCTTGATCTCTTTGTAGATTCTGGTTATCAACCCTTTATCTGTTGCAAAGTTTGCAAATATTTTTTCCCATTCTGTCAGTTGCCTCTTTACTTTCCTGACTGTTTCTTTTGCAGTACAGAAACTTCTCAATTTGATGCAATCCCAAATGTTAATTTTGGCTTTGACTGCCTGTGCTTCTGGGGTCTTTTCCAAGAAGTATTTGCCAGTACCTATATCTTGCAGGGTTTCTCCAATGCTCTCTAATAATTTGATGGTGTCAGGTCGTAGATTTAAGTCTTTAATCCACGTTGAGTGAATTTTTGTGTAAGATGAAAGGTACGGGTCTTGCTTCATGGTTCTGCACGTGGAAATCCAATTTTCCCAGCACCATTTATTGAATAGACTGTCCTTACTCCAGGGATTGGTTTTGGATCCTTGATCAAACATAAGTTGGCTGTAGATGTTTGGATTGATTTCTGGTGTTTCTATTCTGTTCCATTGGTCTATCCATCTGTTTCTGTACCAGTATCATGCTGTTTTGATAACTGCCCTGTAGTATGTCCTGAAATCTGGTATTGTGATGCCTTCGGCTTTGTTTTTGTTGTACAAGATTGCTTTAGCTATTCGAGGTCTCCTGTGTCTCCATATGAATTTCAGCATCATTTTTTCCAGATCTGAGAAGACGGTCTTCGGTATCTTGATTGGGATTGCATTGAATCTGTAAATTGCTTTTGGGAGAATGGACATTTTGATGATATTAATTCTTCCAATCCATGAGCATGGAAGATTTTTCCATTTTTTGGTATCCTCTTCTATTTCTTTCTTAAAGATCTCTATGATGGAAATTACAAAACCTTAAACGTCCTTGGTTAAGTTTATTCCAGTGTATTTGTTTTTGTAGCTATTGCGAATGGGATTGATCTTAGAAGTTCTTCCTCAGCTGTGGCATTGCCTGTGTATACAAAGGCTGTTGATTTTTGTGCATTGATTTTATATCCTGCTACTTTGCCAAACTCTTCTGAGTTCCAAGTCTCTTAAGTAGAGTTCTTTGGGTCCCCTAAATAAAGAATCATATCATCTGCAAAGAGGGATAGTTTGAGTTCTTCCTTCCCAATTTGTATCCCTTTAATTTCTTTTTCTTGTCTGATGGCTCTGGCTAAAACTTCCAGAACAATATTGAATAGCAGTGGTGAGAGTGGGCATCCCTGTCTGGTACCAGATCTAGGTGGAAATGCTTCCAACTTTTCCCCATTCAATAGAAGAAATCAAAAGAGAAATCAAAAACTTTCTGGAAGTAAATGAGGATAACAGCACAACATACCAAACTTACAGGATACAGCATAATCAGTGTTAAGAGGAAAGTTTGTATCAATAGGTGCCTACATCAAGAAATTGGAAAGGCACCAAGTAGATGAGCTTTCAACACATCTCAAGGATCTAGAAAAACTGCAGCAAACAAGACCCAAATCTAGTAGGAGAAGAGAATTAAAATCAGAGAAGAAATCAACAGGATTGAATCCCAGAAATCATTACAAAAAATCAGCCAAACAAGGAGCTGGTTTTTTGAAAAAATAAACAAAACTAACTAAAAAAAGAAAAGACCCAAACCAGTAAAATCAGAGATGAAAAAGGAAACGTAACAACAGACACCACAGAAATAAAAAGAATCATCAGAAATTACTACAAGGACTTGTATGCCAGCAAACAGGGAAACCTATCAGAAATGGATAGATCCCTGGACACATGCAACCTACCTAAATTGAACCAGGAAGACACAGAAAACCTAAACAGACACATAACTGAGACAGAAATTGAAACAGTAATAAAGGCCCTCCCAACAAAGAAAAGCCCAGGACCAGATGAATTCACTGCTGAATTCTACCAGACATTTAAAGAAGAACTAACTACAATTCTTCTCAAACTATTCAGAACAATCGAAAAAGAGGGAATCCTCCCAAATTCTTTCTATGAAGTCAGCATCACCTTAATTCCTAAGCTGGAAAAAGATGCAGCATTGAAAGAGAATTACAGACCAATATCCCTGATGAACATAGATGCAAAAATCCTCAATTAATGTTGATTTTGATATAAAAACTTGAACTTCATGTACAGTTTTTTATAAGATGTATTTTATGAACTCTTTGAAGATCTCTGTGTGCATACATTTCAAACTTTTACACCAAGCTTTAATTACATATTTCATGAACTTATTGAAGAACCTTCTCAATAATTTTTAAATGTCATCATCCAAGGTTTGTGATACATTCAGTTTGCCTACTGCCAACATCTATTCCAGTTTCTTCTGATTTGCTTATTGCTTCTGTGGTGTGATGAATACAACAAACCAACACATTAGACTTGTGCTGAATACCTCATAGGTACCAAGGATGAAACAAATGTCAGTACTGAAAAATACCTGCCTTCTTTGAAAAAGTATTACATCTGTATAACTAAAGTTTTTTTATGATATGTGTAAGCCACATATTTTTAAATTTTATAGTGACATTCCAGAGTGAGTTTCCCCTAGAGCTGAGACAATGGGTCAGTGAGGTGTTCACTATCCTTCTACTTCACTTGATATGTTTCTGTTTCTGTGTATTACTTAGTATTACACATTTTTACTAGCAAATAATTGAAACAATGTCTGTACCACCTAAAAACTCATTTGATCCAAAGTCACTAAGATTATAGCAAATGGAATAAGCAAAAAAAATTCACAATATGGTGTTTTTAAGATTTATTCATTTATTTATTCAAAAGGCAGAGTTGCAGAGAAAGGTAGAGAAAGATGGAA